GGACCTCCTTGTTTCCTGATGTCATCTTTCCACCTTATCTGTGGTCTGCCTCTTGATCTCTTTGCATTGTATGGACGCCACTTTCCGATGGCATTGTTCCATCGTCCGTCTTGGAGACGTTCATTGTGTCCAGCCCATTTCCATTTCAGTTTAGCTGCTTGTTCTATCGCGTCTACTGTCTTTGTTCTGGTTCTGATCCACTGGTTACGTTTTCTATCTCTAAGTGATACACCCAACATTTGTCTCTCCATCGCTCTTTGTGCCTTCCTTATCCTATCCAAATTGGCCTGTGTAAATGTCCATGTCTGTGCTCCGTAGGTGAGCACCGGTATTATACAGGAGTTATATACCTTGCTTCGTAAGTATAGAGGGATTGTTTGATTTTTTAGAACGTAAGAAAGTTTGCCGAACGCTGCCCATCTCATTCTTACTCGTCTCGATATTTCGGCTGTTTGATTTTCTCTATTAGTATATAGACATCTGTATATAGACATAAAAAGGGTTATATGAAAAATAACTGTATCTATAATAAAAAAGAATGGCTATTCTGGTGGGTTAATCATTTTTGGATGGCAGCGAACGTGTTATAAGACGAGGTGTCATATCGTATACGAGAAGGTAATACGCATAAAAACAAAGAGATAAATAAAACCAAACACGAAATTATTTAAATATTTTATTTGTTAAAACGCTGTCAATACTCTTACTGACCAATTATAAAAAATTTTGAAATATGTGCAAACTTAAACCATCAATTTCTCTGCAACTTATGAAATTGAAACTTGATATATTTATATACATCTACAAAATGGCACTATCGCTAAACGTCTCTCTTTTCTAATGGTGAAATTATATAGGTATGGAACTGATATATACAAACTGTTGTTCATCTAATATCACAAAGTTTTCTATTAATCCTAAATTTTTAACGAGTTTATAAATATTAAAAATTATAGTCTGGTAATGTGTTAACGATTTTTACTATCAAGCTAAAGATTTATGTGTGAAAGTACAGTCAAAACATTGACAAGTCTTGAAATATCCAAAGATCTTTAAGTACCCTCATATCAACTACATAAATTACAGAAAATATCCACTTTTAGTCAGTATTCATCCTTCCATTTCGTTATTCTCCTCTACCAATTATTTAGTAATATCTGGCCAACAATTGCTACGTATGTCAATGATTGATTGATTTAACATGTAGTCTTATTTGTTCAAAGGTGCAAAATGTATCCAACACTTTCATTAATAAAACCCTGAATCGGAGTTGTGCTGTAGCAATATTTTGTGTGAAGAAGATGGCATGACTATAGAAATGTTAAAAAATCGGAAAAACATCAATACTCTTTGCATATAAGATGGAAAAGAAAATTCCTGACAATTGAAATGAAACCATAATTCTATTTATACATAACAACAATGATCGATCAGACTTTTTTATTAGTCGCTTGTCTTAAAAGATATAATTTAATTCAACCATTCGCTGATATTGTTATTCTTCCTACTTTCTACGCTTCTTTGACTCTTAATATTTCCCTGCAGAACTAGTAAAAGTATATCAAACATCTTTCCCCTAATAATAAGATCTACATGTTCCAGCTTTTTTATGACTAAGTTCTTTTGTAGATCTCTCAGCACTATAGCGTTCTGTCGGTAATGTCACTGTTCTATAATTTATTTGGTTTTCCTTGTTTTCTTCGTCTGCTGCTCTTCCTATTTGTATCCCTAAGGAACAAATAGTTTGATTTACAACTATAAGAAGCACTGCAAAGCTGGGATGCAAAGATAGAGGCTTAACTGGGGTGTAGAACCAATAATGATAAATGTTATTTGAAGATTCGTAGAGGCAAAACATAAATGCTGTGTCCAATACAAGGTATAAGTATTAAAATGAATAAGATATACTTTTATTCATACAAACAAGGGTGCGGACTAGATTAAAATGCTATTTGATGCGAATAAGAGCGATTTGTACATTTGAACACAAATACAATGCATAATTGTAATACAACATATAATTTTACATAAAACGTCCAGTGAGCTTAATCACTATCATCATATTAATATTTCTTTTAGAATTTGTACAGAATGTGTACATTTTTACCATAGTTGTAATTAAAATTACATTTTTAAGCACAGTCACTTGTTTTTTAATCCCGTATGGCATGAGACATGCCATAAAAAAGCAATTTCAGAACATTGTTCAAAATGTAGGCAACCACTAAATAATGTAATGTTTCGGCTTATATTGGGCCTCAAATTAACAGATTAAAAGATTGAAGTAAAAATTGAATACAGGCTCAAAGAAAGAAAGGCAAGATTCTTGATCAATACACACGTTGCGTAACGTCATCTACTTTGGACGAAAATCTCTCATCCCATGGACTGGACACGTATCTCTAAACTATATGGCAACCGGTAAAATAATTAGAAAATGCCTATACGAGATAATTGTTTGTAATTTTCTTTTGTCAAGAGTATAATTAGGCTAGCAATCTTGTCATTTTTTTCAGAGCCGAATCTGTCTTAAGACTGTATCTGTTTTCTGATACACAATATGCCGACCACTATAGAACGAATTTCAGAAATTTGTTTCTGGAGGATAGAGGTATTTTCAAATCAATAAACTAGTATTTTAATAGATTATTTAATCATTTTAATCCAATTCTTACCCTTTCACGAACTTATAAGCTATGAAAAAGAATTTCATTTTTGTATCAAATCAACTTGAACGCCTTTTTGAAGTCCCCTAAGAACCTAAACAGTGTATATATCGCATATCCCAGCAAATAAGAGTGGAATGGCGAATATGATGATATAGAAAAAATAAAGATGGTGAAATGCAGAAAGTCTGATTAAAAGAAAGTATAGTAAAAATAAAAAGCCCCAAAAAAGCTTTAGGTAGTAAACTTTGTACAGGTGACAATTTTTCTTAGACAGAATTATAAGGTCGTCTCATACATTTAGGGTGATAGAACATGTCGAACGAAGAACAAACGATCAAACATATAACAGAAATAGTGCAAAATGATAAACACTTAAGACAGATAGATTAATGAAGAAAAAATCATGGATGAGATGAAATCCTGAAACTAATGGACGAGAGAAGGGAAGCCAAAAATGACCCAGACAAATATAAAACCATAAATATATTAATAAGAAGGAAAATCAGAGAAGCGAAGAAATTGAGATTCTGCACATTCTGACGGAAACATCATCTTGGACAGAGTAAAATAAGAACGTGGAAAGAATATCTAGAAAAACTATTTGAAGACCAAAGAGATAACACTTCTGAGCTAGAAGAGGTAAATGATGGACCAAGAATATTGCAGCAGGAAGTTTATTCCGCAATAACACAGTTAAAGGATGGCAAAGCGGTAATGTAATGCTAACTAATGTACAACGAATCAATAGCAGTAATCACAAAGATATTCAACTCTGGAGAAACTTATTGCACTTTTCATAAGAGAATCTACAAACTGTGGGTAGTAAGTCAAATTTCCCCCAACCAGTTCGGGTTCACAAATGCTGTTGGTACTAGATCCCCCTTCAATCGGATGGGGGCCTTCTTCAAGAATCACAACCTCTCTCTTAATACAAAAGTGAGAATGCTGTTTTGTTACGTCTTCTGTCCTTTTTTTATGGCGTTGAATCGTGGACCTTGAACGAAGATATGTGCAGAAAACTAGAAGCATTTGAGATGTGGCTATATCGGAGAATACTTGACCTGAGAGGTACTGACCACAATCAAATCTTGAAAGTTGTTCTTTGGACATATGCGAAATGAATCTAGATATGCTCTTCTTCAAGCCATCCTAGAAAAAACATTTGGAAAACGAGGTCCAGGAAGAACATATTGGTTAAAGAACTTAGAATCTGGTTCAATACACCAGCTGTGCAGCTTTTCCGCGCTGCTGTAGAATGATTGCCAACATTCGGAACAGATAGGCACTTTAAGAAGAATTACCATCTGTAACACAAGGGTCCTTGATTTTATTTAATGGCTTCTAGATAAGTGAAATTTGTTGTCTTCATAACTCGATATGGTGAGAGTTAAAATTTTATGTTGAAAAGGCATAATACGTCATTGCCACGGTTTTTTGGAAAATGAAGACAGATTCTAATACATAAATTAGTATAGAGATATGTCTGTATAAATATAATTATTCACTTCACTCATGGATGAGACAATTAACTATATATGTATGCAAGTTTGAGTGGGCATAATACTGATAAACCTATCTATCATAGAACTTATGTGGAAAAAGTATAGTGTACTGAGATTAAGTATGAAAAACAGAATAAATTATACTATGTAACAATTAGTCCTCCAATGAAGAAAAAAAAGGGATAAACTTTACATGTACAGGTAATTATATACTAGCAGACCTACAAGCTGCTTGAGTTTTACAGGGACTATAAACAGATGACAATGTTAATCCAAAAATCAAAATTAGACAAACTACAATGGACAGTAATTAATTTTAAAAGCATATTTTAAGAAAATATGTATCTCTGACACATTTATTACCAAATCCATTATAGTCTAAAAATTACCATTTTTAAGAGCTTCATTTGATGTACATCCATACCACTCTCTCAGGTTGCGCAGCCATGACATTCTACGCCTCCCTATGTTTCTCTTTCCTTGCATAATCAATTGGAGCAGGGTGTATTTCTCTCTACATGTAATATGTGAGATATTCTCTAGGAACAAATAGTACCAATTAAGTTCACCAGTAGTGAGAATTTCATAAATATATACCGGATTTGTTACTGTTACTAAATAATTAGATCTAAGATACCATTGCCATCTTTAAGAGGGTTTTAATAAATTAAAAATTTGAAAAAAAAAAACCATTAAACTTAATCAGGATATTATCTTTACTATTAAAACGATAGAAAAATCTATTAAACACTTTTTAATAATCAACAGCTTGCATGTATCATTCATTGTACACTTTTTGACTCAAATCTGAGCAATTTAAAACTTATATATTTGATATTTGATTTTATTATAGAATTACATATACACATTGGCAAAGACTTAAAAATCAATTTAAATAATTAGGAATAAATAACAAAATTATATCAAAATAACTACAAAATAAAATTTCATTCATACACATATTCACAGAACTCTACGGTTTTAAATATATATTTACATTCAAGACTTTTAGCAGATCACTAACAATAATAGACCAAATACTACAAAATTTAATAAAGCTGAGATCGTTCAGACCTGCTGAAAGTCTTCTGGAAAGCTTATATATAGAAAAAATTTAAAAAATCTTTTGTTATATTAAAGTTCACTTATTGTTTTTCATACAGTTTGTCCCGAAAACATTTTATCTTGTTGACGAAATACGCCTCTAACGATTCTGCGCACTTGTAGAACGGCGATTCTTTGGGGTTGTAATATCTACAGTTATCGAAAATTTTCGTCATGTCACCGATGAACTCGCTCAGTTTTGTGTAGACCTGATCGTTTATTTTTGTTTCGATCATTTGCAAGTCTGAAAATAAAATAAATATAAAAAAGGTGGAAAATATTTGGTAATGTATGAAATACCTAATCTAACAATGAAGTAATGATTTACAATAGGTCATCTTGGTGATAGGTAAAAAATGACAAAAGAAACAAAAAAGACGATGAATAAAAAAATTAATTGTGTGTAGTGTGCATATTTGCAACAAAACAGAAAATATGACAAGTAATTACTATTAGATTACTTCATATTATGTTATTCACTGTCGGTGCCATAAAATCATTTAAATCAATCCTTAACTCTTCAGTAATTACATCTATGTGACATCCATTTTTCAAATTCTTTATTTTCAACATTGATAACATGTTCACACACTTTCTTCCAGCTATTTACAGTTACTTTGGCAAATTCCTGTTCCACCAACTTTTACAGCCCCATATATATTTTTGGTATTCATGTTATCGTGGTAATCTCCTCAGTTAGCACCTGATATAGTTATCAAAAGGGCATTCAGTATGAAACCCATTTGCCTACCACTGTGTATGATATACAATAAGATATTAGTGGACATCCATAAACTACATAAAAAAATTGTACTTTTTAATACCCTCCCACCCCTTTGTCACAAAGCATTTACAGTTGATACCCTTCCTCATGTTGACATGGCCATTGTAACTCATACCTCCCTGTTCAATGTTTTTTTTAATCCAGTGCTTTTTCGCGATTTCTAAAATTAACTATAAAACTTATTTACGAATGTTTTTGAGACTTTAGGTTTTTATATAATTATTTGATACTTTGAATAATGTTGCCCTTTGGTAGAAGCCTTGTGCATTCATGTCCCCCTCCATCCTATCATATACCATCATAATTACCAAACTCCCCCTGCTTCTTTTCTAGGAGGTAGTTTATGGATATTCCCTTATCAGTCAACCAGCAAGCATAGTGAATAAGTAAAGATGGCCTGTAGATTACTGCTATAATTACTGTTTGAATATCATTCAATCAATAAAACTACAAACAGTTAACCAAAATAATTTTGCAAGGTGTCTGAACAGTAAAAGCATAAAAAGCTCAAACTGTAATTCTCCTTGCAACCAAAATTAACTACCTAATCTATCATTATAATCAATAATAGTCTCTCAACTTACCCATAGGTTCTTTTATCACTTTGTAATAATCTGGAGCCTCATTTGGATCCACGGGTTCCATAAATGGCCAGGCACTCTTGTGAACCTGCAAGAAAAAAATATATAAATTATGTGCACATATTGACATAAGTAATATAAAAAAAATCTTACAAAAATATGTCTTAGGAAAAACGGAGCTGAGGATAAATGTGAAAAACCAGATAATAGTCGTAAGACTATTATAGTGGTAAATCATGGTTATGTCAGCACGGGTTTCCTCATTTAATTTACCTGTGTGCATCAAGAAAATTTGTATTTATAACAAAATTTCTCAAATATCACAGGACAACACAAAAATCAATTAAGTACTTTTTGTTAAACCTACAGTTTATATTATTCACTATTAATGTTTTGTTTTCTTTACCTGCAATTGCTTGATAAGCTTCCTCAATCCTTCATGGTCCTTAGCCTGCAAATCTTTCATATTTGCAAAGTTGACGGAATTGTTCCTCTGACACCTTGGACATACATATTCATCAATATTATCTGCTTCTGACTGCAGAATGCCCACACACCTTCCATGGAACCAGTCTTGACAACGATCACAGCAAATATAGAATCTGTAGGAAAATATCAACATAAATAAAGCCATTTTAACATGTAAACAAAATAATTAGAAAAAGTAGAATTATAGTATAATATATTGGTTGCTGGACACTTGCATTTAGTTAAAAAAAGTGTGGACTGAACATTAAGACTCTAATAATAACCATTGTATTTTTTTTAGTTGTGTCAATTAGTCAAACTTTTTTAGACATTTTTATACCAATAATTTCAGATAACTTGATAATGATTTACACAATATGCCCTATATAGTTTTTTATTGTCTCCTCAACTTTCGGCACAGGCAAAATTATAGGAAAAGTTTTGCCTGTTTCCTAGCGGGATATGATATTCCCCTTTTGTAATATATACTGGCACTCTATTTTAGATATAAAAATCTAACTGAGCGTGGCGTCGGGGTATTTTTTAAATTTTACTCACTAAATAATTACTTTTTTTTGGTTCTGGAATTAGTAGTTTTGTATTCCTGTACCAAACATCAAAATATTTATTTTTTAGATTATAAGACTTAATATAAAATATAGGCACCAATTTAAAATAAAAAACAAGTGTCCAATAATTATTAGGTTTATCCTACACTTACTGTGAATCATCATAGGGTTGTTGACACAAACAGTACAACTTTTGTGAATCTCTGGCCTGCTTACATTCATTACATATAAACTCTGTTAGCGTCTTGCTACTTTCTTCTGTTATGCCAACACAATCACCATGGAACCAGTTATTGCATAGATCACAACCCACATAAAACTTAGTTTCATCATAAGGTGTTCGACAAATGCAATACACCTAAAACATAATAAATAATTAATAACAAATCCTATTGATAAATTAATATCCATATATTTTTTTTTGAACTGTGGTATCCTTAATAATTGGTGAATTTAAACAGTTATACAAACCTTCTCTCGTTTGTTGTGTCCTTTGGATGGAGTAGTTGTAGTAGGTGGAGAAGGTCCTTGTTTCACTGGAGTTCCATGTTTTGGTGTCTTCTTGTGTCTCGAAGAGGACGAGGAGGTGGAAGTCTTTGGTTGAGGAGGTGTAATGGCAGCTGTGGTAGCTGTAGCAGCAGATTTTCTCTTACTACTACCAGTTCGTACTTCATCCTGCTTGGTCCTTTCGATTTTCGTGCGTGCAGCTAATTCTTCTGTCACCTCCCGCTAAAATTACAGTTTTCTATTTATGACAAAGTTTAAGGACATAATGCATGTGGTTTGTTTTATGGTAACTTCAGAATAAAGGTGTCTCTCATTCTTTTTCAGACGGGAAAAGAAGACAATAATAAAGGTTGAATCATCATGTATTATTATACTTTTTTAGACTGTTTTTTTTATAAATACTATATTTTAACATTGCACAACAATCAAAACTTTAATATGGCTTGCAGGACATGAAAATTATATAAAATATTTTTACACATGAACCAGATATTTAAATCAAGACACATACATCAAAAGAACTAAGATACAAATCTACAAGACCATAATCCAACTGATAGTGAGCTATGAACATGAAACTTGAGTATTGACTTAAAATATGTAAACCAGCTCAACATCTTTGAAAGAAAGGTATAGAGACAAATACTATGCCCTATCAATGAGAAAAACAGATGATTGAATCAGATACAATTATGAAATATATAGTAAGTGATAGAGGGTCGATAAATACAAATACCGATAATGATCAAACAACCGAAATAAGAGCTAGGATAGAAATAGCAAGAAATGCGTTTGTAAAAATGAAAACAATTCTCTGCAACAAAGATCTTAGATTAGAACTGAGAGTAAGAGCCCGAGATGCTATGTGCTTTCAATACTGCAATATGGACTTGAAAGCTGGACATTGGAAGCAAGAACACATTAGAATAGCATGGACACAGAAGAAAACTAACATGGAAGTATTACGAGAAATGGGCAAAGAATGTGAAATAATAAACACAATAAAAATAAGAAAGTTACAATATTTATGACACGGAATGAGGGGACAGCGATATGAACTGCTAAGGCTGATAATACAGTGAAAGATAAGAGGAAGGAGTATAGGAAGAAGTAGTGTCATGGTTGAAGAATTTAAAGGGACTGGTTTAAATGCAGCTCTATAGAACTCTTTAGCGCAGCAGTAGATAAAGTAAGATAGCGATGATGATATCCAACCTACAATTGGGAGACAGCACTTAAAGAAGAAGATAAGAAGTGATGTAGGATGACAAGGATAAAAGACATCTCCTGGACAGTCAATCATGGGGAGAATGGCTACAAACTCTAATAAAGCCAGTGCTCGAATTCGGCTGTAGAGCCATTCGATGGATGGACATTTATACATCTACATCAATAAAAATTTTGATAAGATTTTAAAAAGATGCATTGCTAAGCTTTCCTTGAGGAGCAGAAAAAATAAAAGCTCCTGTCTATAGGAATTCACACAAAAGATGCTCAAGAATATTTTAGCAATGCATAAAATAGTGAGAAATGTGATGATATATAATATATAGACATAAGATTTTAGGTGTGGCAAATAAAAATTTATAAATACAAATTTCGATTTTTTTTAAATATTATTCTTTGTTTCTGGTTTATTTATAATATTAATTACTCTTGGGTTGATTGGAATGGGAACTTATTAAACATGAAAAATATACAATCCACGTGTGTAGGTAAGGTAACCTCAAACAAAATTATTTTTGAAGTTAGATTAACTTAAACAAAATTTGATTGATTTGTTTAAAACCACGCTTTTAAGGTTTATTACGATAATATTGCCTTAAATTTTCAGTAACAGTCGTTAACTAAAAACCAAAAATTCAATAAAACTTACCACGAGTTTTCATAACCTCACTCGGTTCATGAGGAAATTTCTGTAACTGGTACATTTTGGAAATTACTTATTTCCAAAATTTATTAATTATAATTTTGAATGCAAATTATAATATTGGATACGTTTCTAATAAAAGTAACGTCTTCACACCTCGAATGAACAATCGCAAAAGAAAGAAATTAAAAACGTGATGGAGGAAATTATAAAATTAATGGAAGGGGAAACGTCAATGATCCCCGCCAAAATGGCGATGGCGGCAAATTTGAACCATAGAACTTATAGTCGTAATAATGAATAATTTTCTTAGTAAATATTTTTTGTTTTAATTCGAGAGAGATTAAATGCAAAATAATAAAACTGTTAAAAATAAGATTTTTATTATATTTCTTACCTGAATTTCATACTGCAATTCTTTTTCTAAGAGAGCTCGTTTCCTGAGAATATCCTTCTTCAGCATTTCTTTGTGCCTGAACAGCATAACCATCAGCTTTGTAACTTTTCTTTCGGAGTCACAAACTTCCTTTATTTTCACCTTAGTCCTGGGAGAAACTATTTTTTCTTTGGCGGGCTCATGTCTAGTAGATAAAAATAAGAATAACTTAGAAACGTCGCAGTTTAGATTCAAATTCAACTCACAATTATTAAATATCTTTCGTTCTTAAATTTTCAAAGCGTATTTAGAATCGCAACGATCAATGGCACATCACAAAAGAGATCATAGTCAAAATTTATCAAGATGAAGCATTTATTGACAGACCTTTACTACCACTAAAAATCAAATTGTAAAATTCTGCGTTTTTCTGTATGATGTGGAAGCATGGAATATGACAGAACAACTACCCAATAACGTACCTAGCCAAATGTGGTTATATCGACGAATTTTTCGAATATCTCAAAGAGATACTAATGAGGAAATGTTGCGAAGAATCGGCAAGCTATGAAAAATTACACTTAGAAGAAAAGAAATCTAGACAACTTGCCATTGCATTATTAAAAGCTGTATATGTAATAAATTTATTGTGTAGTGATAAGTTTAATTGATTTTAAAGCTATTGATAATAGGATATGTCGAATAAGACTTAAAGGGAAGTTCGCTAATAATAGCATTATTAGCATCTATGCTCCAACAGAAGAAAAAGAGGACGATGAAAAAGACATGTTCTATGAGGCATTAGACCGAGAGTACGATGAGTGCCTAAAAAATGGCATCAAAATAATAGCAGGAGACTTTAATGCCAAAGTCGAAAGAGAGAATATATTTTCGGCCACCGTCAGAAAAAAGAGTCTACATGTGGACTAATGATAACGGTAAAATCATAAAGTTTGCGATGTTTCAGAACATGGTAAACTCAGATGCTTAGTAGATTCTCTAACTACTATTGCATGGATGTTCACAGTGAGCAATCCACGCAATCAACTTTAATATAATGAAGAACATGATTTGCATCTAAACAGAATGAGGACCTCAGCGCTACGAATTACAAAACCTCTCTCCAGACGTCCGAGAATAGTACATTGTTTACCGGGTAGGAAAAGCTTAACATTCCTGGACGACTGTGAAGATTGCTAAGTCGAGGCGCAAGCCGAGACTTAGCAACACAGAGTCCAGGAATGTGGCTTTTCCTACGAGGTAGACATACTATTTTTCCGCAAATCGTTTAAAATTCGACAGATATTGATTGATTTTAAAAAAACGCGATAATTTTATTCCCAAATAAATGGTGCTTTGAAATTCCTAATAAAATTACTTGGGTTACTATGGAAACGTATTGAGGTTGAATTGTCAAACTTGACGCTTATAAATTTAATGGCTGGTGTTCTCGAAAGTAAAATGATAAGTGATGATGAAATTTCCATTCCTGGGACTCCTCCAGAGCTGGTTGAGGCAGTGAATACTGCTTCATTAGAATTATTGCCAAAGAAATCAAGAGAAAAGTACGAAAATGCATACAGACGTTTTATGGATTATCGAATGAGTAAAAATACGAGTTCTTTCTCAGAAAATGTTGTAATGACATACTTCCTAGAACTTTGTTTAAAGATGAAATCTTCAACATTATGGACCAATTATTCAATGCTGAAGTCAACCCTTGCACTTAAACACAATGTAGATATATCTACATACTCAAAACTTCGTTCTTTATTGAAACGGCAAGCTCAAGGTTACAGGGCAAAGAAATCTAAGATTTTAACGAAGGAAGAAATTTAAAAATTTATCCAGGAAGCTCCAGATAAAGAAAATTTAATGATTAAGGTAATTTACAAGGTTTTAATTTAGATTATATTATATATAATTTAGTTCTATTTAGATTATAGCTTTATTTATTTTTTAGGTGGCTGTAATATTTGGTATTTCTGGGGCCTGTAGAATGGATGAGTTAGTCCGAATGACTGTACACGATATAGAAGACTTAGAATCTAAGCTTTTAATCAGCATACCTGATTCGAAAACCAACAAACCAAGATCATTTGTAATTAATCAGATCTACTTGAATGTTTATCGAAAGTATGTTTCGTTAAGACCAGAAAATATGAACAGTGACCGATTTTTCCTTAAATATCAAAGCGGAAAGGGTTGTAGACAAGTGGTAGGAATTCATCAATTTAGAAAAATGCCCAAAATAATTGCTACTTATTTGAACTTGGTAAATCCGGCAGAATATACTGGTCACTGCTTTCGTCGGTCTTCTGCAACAATATTGGTTGACTCTGGTGCCGACATAACTAGTTTAAAGAGGCATGGCGGATGGAAGTCATCAAACGTTGCTGAAGGATATATCGAAGAATCGCTTAACAATAAGGTTGAGGTGGCAAATAAAATTTTCACAGTACAAAATATTCAACAAAATGACACTTCCACCCTGCATGTTGTCCAAAATGTTTCTCATAGTTCTAAGAGTGTTCCTCCAATGTTCAATAATTGTACTAACTGTCAAATTACTGTAAATATAACAAATTGATCTTAAAAATGTATTCAGCAATGACTTGATGTTTTCAAAATATAAATTAATTTCTTATAAGCAATGTGTTTTCTATCATTTATGTAAAACACTAACAACTGTACGGAAATATCATTTCCTTACAGTAAGGAAATGACATTTCCTTACAGTAAGGAAGTCCTGACTTTTTCTTCAAGAAATTTTGACAGGAATGTCAAAATTTCCTGGCGATTTGCGGAAAATTCTAATACTGATTCGAATCTACTGACTCGATGGTTGTAAAACGATACACCATTACAAATACAAATTTAATTATATAGAAAACAACTAAGATACTACTTACTGTGGTTCCACTTCGACTTTCTTCACCTCAACGGTCCTATTCGGTCGGCTCCTCTTCGGAGTTTCCATAACCCAGTCAGCGTCTTCATTTTTGGAGGAACTTAAAGGCCGTTTTCGAGACGTGGTCGGATGTCGGGAGTTGACGATCGGTTGACTGAGTTTCACGACCGGGGCGGGAACTTCGGGTTCGTGTTTCATCTGCCGCTCCTGATACCTTTGAAGTTGAAGTAGTTTCTCTTCGATTTCCGGATTTAGGTTTTCTTGTTTCAGTGCCGTTTTGATCGCTGTAGAGGAGAACGATAAAAATATGGGGATTTCACAGATATTGTATAGTACGTACAAACAATCGCGAAATATACAATATAGTACACGGAAATTTAAAGGAACTATTGTAGAAAATAATGAAAAAGAAACTTAACTGGAAATAACAGAAATTACAAGGTCGCTTCGGATGAAAGTATGAAAAAGAAGGAACAGTAACAAGCAACATTGTGCCGTTTGAATATTAACGAAGATGAACACTGACGAAATTGAGTGATAAATAAGCAATCGATTCGACTAAAAATGCTCTGATAATAATATTGCGGGCGGAAAGATGGCCGAAATCACTAGCTGTGGATATAGTGGTTTTGACTGAAAAAAAAATAACGCAATTGGAACAGGAATTTCAAAATACAGGGTAGCGAAAAAATGAGTTCTACTACACAGAAAACAAACATGAGCATACATACATCCCTTGATCTTGCGTGAAAGATTTGAAGCAGCTGCAACCAACGGTCTAGTTTAAATCTTCAAATAACAATGGTGAAAACATTTCTCGCTCCGAATAAACGTTGTATAAAAAAAATGAGAAAAAAAGAATGAGGTATATCTATCAATGGAGAAGTTTTGAATAACTTACGTTTTGCAGACGATACAGTAATAATTACGGATAACAACAATGATTTACAGAACCTAATGCAACGCCTTAATAAACGCTGTCATGAGTACGGATTGAAGATAAATTTAAAGAAAACTAAATGCATGATCATGACTAAATCTGCACATGCAAATATCCAATTGACTATTGAAGATACTGCAATTGAGAATGTTAATAACTATAAATATTTAGGAACATGGATAACATCAGATGTAGACCAAACCAAAGAAATTAAGACACGTATTGAAATAGCACGTGCATCATTTATTAAACTTAAAAAGTTTCTTTGTTGTCGTATAAGGTTAGAACTACGCCTGAGAATGCTTCGATGTTACGTGTTCTCTACTCTTCTTTATGGTCTGGAAGCTTGGACACTAAAACAAGTTCATCTGAATAAGCTGGCCGCCTTTGAATTTTGGTGTTACAGAAGAATCCTACGAATATCATGGATTCAAAGAATGTCAAACATGGAAGTAACTAGAAGGATAGGAAATGAGGCGGAAATAATATTAACTATTAAAAGACGAAAACTTGAGTACTTGGGACATGTGATGAGAGGGCAAAAATACGCATTATTACAACTTATTATGCAGGGCAAAATCCGAGGAAAGCGAAATGTGGGAAGACGAAGAATATCCTGGCTTAAGAACTTAAGGGAATGGTTTGAATGCAGTAGTGCAGAACTTTTTAGAGCGGCAGTCAACAAGAGTCCGCATAGCCATGATGATTTCCAACCTTCGATAGAAGATGGAACTTAAAGAAGAAGAAAAAAAATGAGCAGAATGAATTCAAAATTCGGCATCGGAAAGCTATTAAACTTTAAAGAGGGTTTAAAGACGATGATTGCCTATCTCGTGCCAGAGTTTTTCAGTGGTACAATTTTTTTAGGGATGAAAGGGACTATGTTGTGACTTCAAAAAGTGACTTAGAACGTTCAAAAAATTAACGAAATTGTTCAAAAAGAGTGCCGATTAAGTATTAGGGCCTTTAATGGACGTTGGACGTAATGGAACACATTTCCCCAGTTGAAAGATATTTTCTGTGGAAATATCTAAGATAGTTTCTATGAAAATATCAGAGCTAATTGTTTTTGTTCAGAATCTTGATAACCTAACAAATTTTAATTATATAACAATTTTCAAGATGACAGCCGTGATATCATCAGAATGCAATCTCACCTAGGCTCGTGTCTCAAGGTCAGGCCTATAATGTGGCCACTCACCAGGACCAAAAGATTGCTCTCACTTGGTGGGAGTGACCTTAAGAGACGAGGCTATGTGAACTTGCACTCTGATGACGTCACGGCCGCCATCTTAAAAAGAGGTCTTGAGAGTAACTTCGTATAACTACTCTAACAACTTACAGCGTGGCTAATAGTAACGTGAAGTGGTGGATAAATGGTTGAATGCTTAAAACACTTAACTATACGTGAACCGCTAAAAGATTAAGTAAAAAAAAACATCGCAATTGTTTAACATGTTTATGTAACAAAATTGATACAAGTTTCAAACAGAAGTACTGAAATTTCGCAACTAAAAGCATTAACCGTGTTTATCAATTTTGTTACATGTAAAAAGAAAAAGAACTAAATAAAAAGGAAGAGATAAAACATAAAACTAATAAATCTAAAGAAACCCAAAGCAAAACGAGTACAAAATAAAATAAAATACGGAGTGCAAGGGTTTTGTTACAAGAAAAGTCAAAGTCAATGTTTAAACGGTTTTATTATTATAAATTTCTTGATTACAGTCTGGAACAGTTACATCAACATTTATGTAACCACAAAGGTCAAAAAAGAGACCTAAGAGAGCTTAAAAAAGCGGAAAAGTCTATGAAATTATTGGTCTGAGAACGAATTCGACTTCCCAGCTTCTTTATGCAATTCGAATTTAATGGAAACGTTTCATACCAGCTAGTAAGTCAGTCTTTACTATCAGTTCTAAATGTTTTGTGGTGTTGCTGAACTATAGATACTAAACTTTTACTCTTAGTACAGCTAGATTGTAGTATTTTAACAATGTGTTTGATCAGGCTGCATACTTTCGCTATTTGTCTGATATTGATGACAATAACCTGATCAAATCTAGTGCTAAATAGCGAGAGATTTGAAATATATCCCATAAGGGCAGTGAAAGGAATATCAACAAGGTTTCTTCAGGTGGAGAGCGCCCACCAAACTGGCATGGCAAGTGGCAAGTAGCAAGTAGCACGCGTCTAGAATTTTGCTTAAAATGTAACCAATGTAAACGGATGATTAGAACGAATGACGTCACTGTCATTTTGGCGTGCGCTGAATCATTCGTTTTCATTGGTTACATTTTCAGTAAAATGCTAGAAGCGCGCTACTTGCCATGCCAGTTTGGTGGACACTCTCCCTAAGGGATAACTAAAATGAAATGAAAGAGAACTCACCCCCATCCCCCCATCTGTATATTACTTAATTCATCACCTATCTTAAAATTCGTGATGTCTTTTAACAAGTGGGTAACCAAATCAATAATTATTTTATCTTCACGAATGTAAGGTTTGTTTACACTCACATATACCTTGCATGTAGGAATGTTACTATCATAAATGCATTTCTAATAATATTTATGTCTCTTTGGTTTACTTAACTTGTCAACTGTCAAAATCAGAAGTTTAGATGGACTTGACCTTGAGGTTATTTGAAGTGCTAAGTGCCGACTAAGCAACTGACAATCGTGACATTTTCATATAATAATCATAAAATTTTATTTTTTCTAGCTTTGCATATGTATTGCAAGTAATGCTTGTGATGGGTTCTTGCAACTATGTATTATTCCACAAAAATCAATGATTTTATTAAGTTTTACTAAAATCTCAACTTAAATTTGAAATCTATCAGATTTTGACAAGATTATCTACAAAAAATAAAATTTGGTAGTGAAAAGAGTGCTCAGTTGCTCCGTGGAAATTGAGTGCATAAATTTTGAATTCCTTCTGGTACGTTTCATATCACAATGGTATCTGAATATTCAATTTGTTCACCGATCTTTTTAAGTAAAAAATCTCAAAGAGTTACAGCATGAAGTGTCTTAACTTTCGATATAAAGTCATAAACTGAATATGTTTTCTTACACATTTTTTTTATATATGCTTCCAGTTTTCAGGTACTTTTTCTGCCAGATTTTCTTCATTTATCGTTGAAATTATTTTTCTAATTATTTTTTACTAATATCAATCTTTGTTTTTTCGTTATTGAGTTCAAATTGTACTCTTTTTTTTTTGTTCTTTGCTTCTTCTTTTTTTGAGTTTTTTACATAATTTTGTACAATGTTCGTTATGATCCGGGAGAAATTTTTTGTATGCGAAGATTTTGAGAAACTTTGGAGAGAGTAACAATAGGAAGTAGTGTTAGGGCAGTTATGGGAGATACTGATTAATTTCATATGACAGTAGGATTGCATCAGAGCTCGTATTTATTTTCATTAGCGTTAGATCAGATAACTGGGTAACTACAGGGTAACATTCTCTGGTGGTTAATGTAAGCTGATGATGTAATGTTAGTAGAAAATACTGAACGGAATTTAGAACAAAAACTGGAAAAATGGAGACAAGCTCTTGAGGAAGAAGTTTTAAAACAGTAGGACAAAAGCAGAGTATTTGGAATGTTCGCATTCTCAGCTCGCGTTTATATCTTCGATGTAATCTATTTGTTTCAGCTGTTTTTTCTGTGCTAGCCTCCTTTGGTTGGTGAAATGATTGTGAAAAAGTAGTGGTTTTAAATAACTGGGATCAGTAGTACAAAGTAACGTGGAAATAGATGAAAATGCATTGAGTAAAATTAGGTTAAAATGGATGAAGTGGAAGGAAACAAGCGGTGTGCTGCAAAGGAGCATTCTATAACACTGTCATAAGACCAGCTATAGTGTAATAAACTCAATGTTGGACAGTTAAAAAGAAAGAGGAACAACGAATGTACGTGGCAGTAACAAGAGTGCTTCGATGGAAAAGTATAGTGACAAAAGATAAAACTAGGAATGAGTATATTAGAGGAAGTCTAGGAATGACACAAATGGATGCCAACATAAGATAGAATAAGTTAAGATGATTAGGTCACGTTAATCACTCGATACGAAGAATTGATATTTAATATGATGATGATTTAATTATGAATATGATGATCTCTTCTTAAGTATCTCTTAGAAATTTCCAGGTGTATAGTCTACCTTTAAGTGGGTTCCAGAAAATGTTATTATGCAAAAAATATGTTTGTTGCAGAATCGTTATTGCCAAAACTAATTAGGGAAGCGGGCCTCAGATATGGATAAAGGCAAAGAGAAAAAGAGAGAATAAAACTGTAATAGTAAGCCTTACTAAGGCTTTGTTAACTGATAAGCAAAGTAAAGTTACAAAATAATAAGTTCTGAAAATAATGACAATGAAGGAATTGAATGCTGTGCAGTTTCACCAATGTCCTATATTTAAGAAGGAACCTTCCTCTATTTAGCAAAATAACAAAATAACGTAGTTCTAGCTGTAATTCCTTCATATTTAGTTTTAGCAATGTGTTTAACATCACTACTAACACATACATATTGAGAATATACTACAATATATACTCGCAGCACTCTGTTTCAAATATCTATACCTATTTCCAAGATAAAACTGATTACAGATTGTCTATGTTAATTTTTTCTTTGTAATTGTTACCGTTGACGGTCAAGGCATCTAATTTAAAAATAAATTTTCAGAAACGTTCCCATCAAAACTTTTAACAATAATTAAACACAAAACAACAAATAAGTCAGTCTTCATTCCACTAGAACGAAAATATCACAGAAAAAAATATGTAATAATATCTAAAAACAAGTCAAGACCCTTGCTTATCCGTAATGATCAATTGAATAGTGAGAAATGTTGTATAAAGCAAGACAGACAAAAAATGTATCTACGTAAATTTAATTATGTCCCACAACTATTGTTTTTAAACTTACCCCAAAAGTACTACAGTAATACTCTATCTTTGATACCCTCAATGTAGCTTAAAAAAGAATACGCTGCTAGTAGTGGTCGGTATGAGGCATAAAGAAGGTCTCCTGATATCAACGGCAGCTGCTTTTAAGCAAATTTCGTGAACTATCTGGGGCAATATTTTTAAATTATCTGTTTCATGCAGTGGATACGGTCTAGGTACCTTGTGGTTCCTGTGGGTCGGAGTACCATTATAGACAGGAATTCAAAAATTATTTCAATGTCTTTCCTAAGATAATTAACACCACGGCGAGTCAGTCCTTTGCACAGTACCAGTCTTCTAATCTTTTTTGGTATTGACACACACACAAAGAGAAAGAGAGAGAGGCACTCTGAGAAGCAGTACTCTCGAGAACATTTTCTAAAACATCTAGTATGTCTTCTCGGCCAGAAAACAGTCCAACTCATGTAGTAATACGAGGTCTGGCTATTAAGTAACGAGAATGTGCGGGCAGAAGGCGTCCTAGAGGGGAGGAGTGGGAAACGAATGCAGCATTGGATAGATGGAAGTGTCTACTCTTCCAGTACGAAAACACGGAGTAGTATTTTTTCGTTAGAGGTTAGAAAAGAACGTGTTTTTTTTTCTCTTGCCGATAACAATGTGTAACGAAAAACATGAGCAATGTGAAATTTCTCATTATATTAAAAAAACTCCGACTGAGTGTTATAATTTGTATAACTTATAAAGAGGCCTATGGTGAGAATTCTCTATCCCGTGCGCGTGATTTCGAATGGTATAAACGGTTTTCTGAAGGTCGAGAGAGCTCCGAAGATGACCAACGTCCAGATCGACCAGTCTCTGTTTCAACTGCGAAGTTGGCCCCAAAAAATTTGACCATTGACCAAAACTCCGCCCGTCAACAGATCTGCTCCGATTTTCTTGAGAGGCTACATAAAGAGCCTGAATTAAGGGAAAACATCATCACTTGCGATGAAACCTGGATATTCAAATACGATGTTGAAACTAAGCGACAATCCATGCACTGGAAAACTGCATACCCAAGAATGAAAAAAGCAAGGATGCCGAAATCAAAATTTAAAGCCATACTAATCGTTTTTTCGACATTAACAGCATCTTAATCACTGAATGGGTTCCAGAGGGTCAAACTGTAAACCAAACTTACTATTTAAAAGTTTTGGCAACGCTGCGTTGTGGAAAAACAAGCCGTGTTATTGGACCAGGACTGTGAAGCGTTATTTAGCCGCTAGAGGCATTCCAGTGCTCGAACACCCGCCGTGCTCGCCTGATTTAGCACCCTGTGACTTTTTCCTGTTTCCTAAGATCAAGTCTGCTCTAAAAGGAATCCGGTTCAAGTTGATGAAACAGGTGAAGCGAAAAACGGTGGAGCTCCTAAAAGCTCTAACAAAAGAAGACTTCCAGCATTGCTTTGACCAATGGAAAAAACGAATGGAGCGGTGTGTGACGAGGGAAGGGTAATATAGTGAAGGAGAGGATTCAATTGTAGAATAATTTTTAAAATAAAACTCTTTTTCATAAGCAGTCTCGTTATATAATAGCCATAAAGACCTCGTAAATAACAAACGCCTATAAAGTTCTTTGCAGTGTTAAAAAGGAAAGCCTTTTATCCGTTAATCGAAAGAGTGGAAATTATAGAAAGAGTACTATAATTTACTAAGTGCTATGGAGAATATATTGCAAACACTCGAAATATTGATATATATGAACACTCGAAACACTCGAAATATGAAATATTGTTGATATACAGAGAAATTCTCGGTCCTATTGATTTAAAGTGCTCAGACGAAGCAATATTAATTTTACAATAAAAAAATCGAAAGATGGAATACCATGAGGAAAAAAAAGAAAAATTCGTGTTAATCTAGATTATTATCCAAGGAACAATTGATGACAGGGAAGTTCCCGAAAGAGAAGAATGTGCTGGCTTGCCAACTTGCGAAAGTGGTTTGGAACTTCACTGGAACATTTAACAAAGCAAAAATCTATAAATAATTGCGAACATTTTGTACCAACAACCACCAGGATACCACCTTAAGAAGATGAACAAAAGATTTACCGAATATAGCTCCTTTTCTACTTAATACTGACGTTTTGAAGCCTGCAGGAATTAGTGAAAGTGTAGGTTTCCTATGAATTATTTCTGAAAGATTATTATAAAGAAATCTTTCCCAACTGCAATAAAAATCTTTGTAATTTTAAACCTATTTTGTTCACAGATACCATAAGTAAGATCAAATATTCCCACAACCATCTATTGATGATAAATGATCTTCCAGCCTATCTCCTGTAAAATATAACGGAACAGATCTAACACCATTCAATTTATCTTTTATGAAACCTTGAAGCAAATTCGTTTTGCAATGGGTATATTCTGTTGTGATTAAAAACTATAACTGATGGTTGTAAAATTAACATACTTTGCTGAATATAATCTGGAGTCACCACGAACTGCTTGTTGGCGTCGGCACTTGAGGTCACTACCCGTTGCTGCTGAGAATGTGGCTGCTGAGTGGACGACTGTAACTGAGATTGCGTAGAAACCAACTGGGACTGCTGCGATTGGTTTTCGGCTACTTGTTTGATGGGTTGCAACAGGGCTGACGTTTGGGCTTGCTGACCATTTACTAGTATCTGCCGCACGTGGGAAGGAACATCGCCAGCCTGTAAAAAAAATTTGGTAATTAATAGAATGTCATAGATATACATTAATAGAAGAAAACCGGACACAAATCGATGTTTATTAATTTCTACGATAGGTAAAGACACATGGTATTTTTATGAACGTTCTAGACTCAGTTCATCGAAAAAAGATAGGAACAAAAAAGAGCTTGGGGACGTTTTCAGACTTTAATTACAATTTGTGACGTTTCTGGTTTGTTTGAAAAGAATAAAAAGCGTCATGTGGTAGATGTATTCCCAGAACTTTTGAATATTACTGAGCCCAGAGTATAACAACAAAAAATACAAGGGGGCGATGTCATGTGTGTTGTAGAGGCAAAGACAGAAAAACTAGTAAAATATGTGTAAAATGTAAGAATTTTGTATGTCTAGAACACGCAAAATCAGAGATAGTTTGTGTACATTGTACCGGTTGGTCCAATAAGCCGATCTCTCGGCTATATGTTAGAAAATATTTATGTTATAACTTTAGGAGAAAAAATTCCTTAGTAAAAGTGGCCAAGAAAAATCGCCAAGAGGCCTAAATTCCGCACAAAGTTGTTCAAGTACTTTTTTTTATTTTTTCAAATAAAGGGTAGGGGAGAGTAAGAAAGTATTTGTAGATAAATACCTGTAACTTTGGTTTGGATCAACCGATTTTAACGAAATTAGTGTCATTAGAAAGAGTGTTCATGATTGAATTTAAATCTACTATAAAACAATTGCGTTTAGTTTTAATTACCATGGGTAAAGGGTACTTTCGAATAGCAAAAATTAAAATTTGTCTTTCTTTAAAATGTTTAATGGAAACACCTATTTATTGTAAATTATAATGGAACTGGATTAAATTCGTAACAAAATGACGCAAACCGCATATTGATAGCTTTTGTCGAACTCGAGATATGAATAAAAACGCATAAACATAAGTAAGTATAGTATTTACCCACCCTTTATTATAACTTAAAATTAAATATGTGAAAGATCATACAAATATCTCGATCATTAAAACTTAATGTCCAATTAAATGTTCAAATTGTTTTCCATCGTTGTCCATATAAAGATGTAATCTTTCGCGCGTAGACATAATAGCTGCTTCTATCTCAGCTGTTGATATACTATTTATTGCGTTTATAATGCGTTGTTTCATGTCGTCTTGCGTGGTTGGTCGAGTTTGGTACACTTAGTCCTTCAATCTTCCCCACAGATAAAAGTCCAGACATGTTAAGTCTGGAGATCTAGCTGGCCATGAAAATATACTTCCCGAATCTCGAATGGAAAAGTGCGCAGGACACCCGTCATGTTGTAATATCATATCTCTTCTTGTTTCTAAGGAAATATCTACCAATAAAACAGGCAACTGATTTTCCAGAAAATCCAAATATGTTTCGCCATTTAAAGTTCTATAAAACAAATATCGACCTACGATCTTTCCATCAACTGTACCACACCAAACATTAAGACTCCATCTACCTTGAACCTGCAGGTTAATAATGCATATTATGCAGATTAACACCACCCGCACTATTAAACGTAGCCTCGTCTGTAAATCTTTGACATGATTTGCGGTTGTTCTTCTAGCAGACCTAACATCCAATTGCAGTAATCCAGTCTTACATCAAAATCTCTCATGTAAAGCTTGGTAATAAGAATCGGATAAAACGATAAAAGCGCCGTGTTGCCGTTTTTATCGGAATATTAAAATAACAGTTTAATCTAAAGTTTAAAGGGAATTCCATGTTTCTGATCTAAACGTTCACTTTATAATATGAAAAATCAATCTGTGATGTTTTAAAATCCTTAGAACAGTAGTTTTGGGTATGTTTAATTCTATAGAGATTTGCCGACTACTTATATGTGGATTCTGTTGAATTAAAGCAAGAACATTGATTGAATTATCTTCGGTCTTACCTCTACTACGTCCTTTAAAACAAGAACCCTTACCAGTTTCTCCTAATCTTCTTGCCTTTCTTTCAAATATTTTTTTGCCATAATGCCATACTGTAATAAAGATATCTTACAGAATATATACGTGAGGCAATAGCTTCATTTTGGTGACATTCGAAATAAACTCCAATCATATAATACTATTGAAATCTTCAATTGAAATATTAATATCTATTGAAAAAAGTGCAATCTTCAATTCGAATTATAATACAACAGTTCTTAACAATGTTTTGACTGCGGACAATAAATAAACAATATGAGCTCCCCGAAAAAACTATTTTTAATCATACGAAATAACAATGGTCAAAATATGTATCAAAATATTTTAAATTCTTCTGCTATAAAAAATTTGAAAGTACCTACTGACTTATTTTTTAACTTAATTTATAATACAGGGTGAGTCAATACTATACTTACTTATGTTTATACATTTTTATTCATATCTCGAGTTCGACAAAAGCTAGTAACATGCGGTTTACGCCATTTTGTTACGAATTTAATTCAGTTCCATTATAATTTACAATAAATAGGTGTTTCTATTAAACATTTTGAAGAAAAACAAATTTTAATTTTTTCTATTCGAAAGTACCCTCTACCTATGACAATTAAAACTAAATTCAATTATTTTATAGTAGATGTAAATTAATTCATCCACACTCTTTCTAATGACACTAATTTCGTTAAAATCGGTTGATCCAAAACAAAGATATAGGTATTTATCCACAAATACTTTCCCACCCTACCCCACCCTTTACTTGGAAAAAATAAAAAAAAGTACTTGAACAACTTTGTGCAGAATTTAGGCCTTATTCTTGTTTACTTGTTTAACACTTGGTATAATTGGGCATATTTTCCCAAAAAACTAGTTTTCAAAGTTTTCTTCAGTTTTTACGCCCCTAGCGGTTAACATAGAAACTTGAAAGTTATTTCCAGCGATTTCTCTTGGCCACTTTTACTAATGAATTTTTTCTCCTAAAGTTATAACATAAAAATAGTTCCTGATATTCGCTCCGTGCGTGACCATGGTAGGGATACATTGAAACGATGCCAGCGTGCGTAGCGGCGAAATATGACAAAATTGGAATATTGGACAAAATATTTTTACGCATAAGTTTTATCAAAAATGTGTGCAAATACATGTTGCGTATTTAATTCTGCTAATAATAGCAAAAACAGTGAGAGTAGTTTTAATAGGTTCCCAAAGATTACATATAAATTAGGGAAAAGAAAAAGATGAATTCGTGCTATTAATATGAAAAAGTAAATATCACATAATTTCATTTTTATGCAAATGAAATAGGAAAAATTTAAATAATTTGCCTTGAATGATATTTCATAAGGCTTCAATCTAACTGCAGATGACTTTAGCTTTTATATCATAACTTTTACCATTATTGTTTTTAATTATATGCTCTTTTGCGTGAAAAACTTGATTTGCCAGTACTAGATTTTTCCCTTTCTTTTCCGTTTGGAGTTGACAAGATATATTATGATAAATTTTGAGAAACTCAGTTTATAATACTACATTTATTTTGTACATAAACTGAAAAAATATAGTTAAAAAACTAATTTATTAATAATTGTCAATTTCGCATGTATTTAACAATGTCAAACATATGTCATATATTTAACCTAAAAATTGGGACTCCAAAATTGTCAGATGAAGGCGGTAGGTGTCGCATCAGTCACGCACGGAGCGAATATAGCCGAGAGATCGGCTTATTGGACCACTCGGTACAAATAGTATTTATAGTTGTTATTTAGTCTGTTAGCATCAGCAGTAGAATGTATTTTGTAGTAATGTGTATACTTTATTCTGATAAATGTTCAATACTATAAAAATAATGTGTTACTGGTACAGTTTTTTTTTCGTATAAGCATAGTTCACCCATTTAAGGTTGATAAACTTAATGGCCAAAAAGGAATGTATACATATAAATACAATGCAAAAATCTAAGCATAACATAATGTTGACTTAAAAATGGAATTATTTTGAGAAGTTAAACTGAATAACGGATAAACAGTGGTTTCTTATACATAATCTGTGACATTATTGACGATAAGTCATATTAACAAAAACAAATAAAACTTAGCTTGGAATAATGCAGGCAACTGCAAAAACGAGAATGTAACACCCATCATAACACACTACCGTAATTGTTTATTCCTCCTCCACTATTTGCACACCTTACACATCAACACAAAAATAAAGCCAGACGTTAAAAATTTCTTTGGTTCCGAATTTATTGCTTTTTAAGTATGCGACTTTTTGTTTTATCGCTGAAAAACGTTGTCTGTTTCTTTTAGTCTGAAATATAGACAGGGGCGTACTTGGATATTTACACTTTATTACGATCATTTTGTGATATCTACTAAATTAATGTGCTAACAAAAACAAATGGAACGAGAATATTGCACTGCAAAAATCATGAGGGAAAACCTGGAAAAATCCTCATGATACTATCCTGACATGATAAGTATTTGGTCTTACATTTAGTTTTCACCAAATTCTGATTTTATATGTTTGTTATTTAAAAAACATAAATGATGTATGTATCCTCGATTTGTTACTGACTTACTAATACTGGTATTTTCCTTTTAATAACTTCCTCTTTTTAATATGGGTAACCAGATCTTACTACATTCTGCCGAGGAATTTGAAAAACAATTGGTCTCATTTAGCATACTTAGAGCCGATTCTTTGATTTTTCTCAATTCACCAATTGTGTCGCAAATTCCTTGGCAGAATGTAGTAGGATCTGGTTACCCATAATAAAAGAGGAAGTTATTAAAAGGAAAATACCAGTATTAGTAAGTCAGTAACATATCGAGGTAACATTATGAGAAAGGTACTAGACAGATGGAAGGGCGGAATATCAGTAGGTGGTCAAAAAATCAATTTGAGATATGCTGATGACACTTTAATAATCGCGGCAAATCAGGAAGAAATGGAAGACATAATAAGATGTTTGGAGGAAAAAAGCGAAACATATGGACTAAAGCTAAATAGGAGTAAAACACAGATCATGATAGTAGACAGAGCTCGGAATAATCCTCAACACATTAAATAAACTGGGGGTTTTGAAGTAGTAAATACTTTCATATACCTGGGGTCCCTAATAACAAATGACGAAGGGTGTGTGTACCAGTTTGCAAGTAATCCACAAACAAAATTAATTTCGCATCCCAAAAAACTGTTGCTAACACTTTGTTGGCCGATTTCTGGACACGAACTTGTTTCGGAGCCGAAGAAACAGCTTCACACTACTCTTTACCATCTTGTTTTGATCCAGGATCATGGTGAGAGACCTAGGTCTCATTGATAGTTAGAAATCGGCGTACAGAGTCCACTTTATCTTTTCGAAAACACTGTAAATATTGCTGAGAAAGTCGCATTCGAATGTGTTTTTGTTTTATTGCTAACCCATTGTAAATAGAGCTTTCTGAAACCCGATACCTTAATAAAAATATTGCTTGCACTACTCAATGAGTTGCCTAGGGCTTTTACAAAATCTCTTTCAGTCACTCGACGATTTCCCAATACCATAATCTGTATTTTTTCTACGATTTCTTGAGTTGTTGCTGTTTTAGGACGTCCTTAACTCATCTTTCTACCGTATTAATTGAAGACGAAAGCCAATGACATGTCGATACTAAGTCGCTTGTAAACAAAAAATGAATTGACAGATTGAACTGAAGATTCACATACGTTCATATGAGGAGTATACCAACATAACAAAAATTAGGCTAATCCTCCCTTATTAAATCGCAAAACTTATTAAATAGCCTATTATATTTGAAAATTATTCTTCGTTATTCCAGGTTCAGTTCACTTACTTTTCAATCAGTGAATTATCATTTCTCTTACTTTATCATATTGGTTTTGAAATGACACTAACCTTATTATTTTCTTTATAAAAGCCAACAAAAGATACAGAGCACACTCGAAGAGATCGAGAAGGTGAGTGGGTAACCAGGGTTGAGAAGATATCAGAAATTACTAAGGACGAAATAAAATTCGATCTTGTAATGTACTCACAACGATGAAACATGGGAAGACACCCGGAGAACATGGTACAGTAGTTGAGCCCATTAAAGTTGAAACGTTGGAAGTTTTCCAACTTATATTAGAGCATAATTCCAAGCGATTGGAACACAGTTCTAATGATATTAATCTATAAAAAAGGAGACTCTACGGAAATCCAAATATGGTACACCTATCAGTCTCCTGTCCCATTTGACTGTCTTCCCTCGCTCAACCGTTTCCATCTCTCTCTGTTGTCCCATTCTACATCTTTTAGGCATCTCTTACTTATGGCGTCGTCTACTTCGTTCCTCCAGGATCTTCGGGGTTGTCCTCTTTTCCTCCTTCCTATAGGACTCCATTCGGATATTCTCTTTATCCATCTGCTGTGGCTAGTTTTTCTTCAAGTCCATACCACTTTAGTTTTTTTGCTCTATATATGCTAGTATGTCTGTTTCTATTGATGTAAAACATAAAAAATCACGACCAAGGTAGGCAGATTAACGAGTATATGCTTAATATCCTCGGCGATCGATGTCTTATGTCATCATTAGTTGGCGCTACAGCCCTTCGTGAGCCTTGGCCTGCTTCAAAACATTCTTCCATCCTTCCCTATCGAGTGTCTGCCTTCTCCAGCCCCTCACTCCAATCTCCCTCAGATCTTCCTGTACATCGTCCAGATATCTGAGTTTAGGTCGCCCCCTTCTTCTTCTTCCGACCGACCTGTTTAGCATAGTTATTTTAGTGGGATCACTCTCACCCATCCGCATAACGTGACCCACCCACCTTAGGCGGTTTATTTTGATGGTCTTCACAATATCTGCATCACCAAAAAGTCTATAGAGTTCAGTGATATCGCCTTCTCCACAGACCCTGTTCGTTTACTCCGCCATATAAGGTCCTCAATACTTTTCTTTCAAAGACTCGTAGTAACTCTTCATCTCGGGTCGTCATTGCCCATGTTTCCGATCCGTATGTGAGCACTGGGCGTATTATTATTTTATAAAGTTTGCACTTTGTTGCTATTGACATACTTCTCTCTCTTAGTTGAGGGCCCAGGCCAAAATACCAGCAGTTAGCCACGCATATTTTTTTTTATCTCTTTGGATGTGTTATTTTTGTAGTTTACCAGTGATCCTAAGTAGCAGAATTTTTCTACCTTTTCTATCGTTTCGTGTTGCACCTCTAAGTTATTTTGTTGAATTCTTGATATGGCCGGCCTATATTTAGTTTTCTGGGTGTTAATCAGAAGTCCGATGTTTTCTGCGGCATTTTTGATACGTGTGAAAGCCTCCACTGCTTCATTTTGGGTTCTTCCAATTATGACAATATCATCAGCGTATGCCATTATTTGTATACTACGGGTATATATCATACCTTTTAAGTTTATTCCCGAATCTCTCATAACTTTTTTTAACGCTAGGTTGAACATCGTGCACGATAGCGCATCTCCCTGGCGCAGTCCTCTGTTGGTTTTAAATGGTTTTGAAACATCCCCTTGTACGCGCACTTTACATTCGACTTTCATCATTGTCATTTTAATTAATTCTACCAAACCTTTTGGTATTCCTAATTCGATCATCGCCGAATATAATTGGGACCTGTCAATAGTATCGTACGCTGCCTTAAAGTCTACGATGATGTAATGACAGTCTATGTCGTACTCCGTCGTTTTTTCTAATATTTGTCTGATGGATGATCCGTGATCAATGGTAGATTTGTTTTTCAAGAAGCCTCTTTGGTAGGATCCTATTATATTGTCAGTATACCGTGCCAGTCGTTCGTTAAGTATCAGGGACACAATGTCTTATGTACGATCGTGAAAATTGTATTGCAAGTTTCAAAAGAGGTAAATATTTTTTAAATAAATAATTTCTTCATTTGCACATATAAAATGATAAATTTTGTTTGGGTACAGTGCACTAATTAACTTCATATTGAGTTTTAAACAAATTTAAAATGTCACAAAATTGTACTTTCAAGGTTAAAAATTAAAAATAATTGTAAAAATTTGAAAAATTTCTGGCAAAACCATTTACGACATCTACGAAGGTATAATAATAATAGCCCATATCTAATTGAACAAAAACTTTTTTTTATTTTGTTGAGAATGTTTACGTACCTGTTGCTGTATATGCTTAACGGGTGTTTGTTTCGGAGTTACGACAGTAGGGTTGACGACTTGTTGGGTAACAACTGGCTGAGCGGGAGCGGTGGTTTGTTGTACGGGGGCCAAAGGCGGAGGATTTGTTGATGTCGTTTCCGTTGACGGTTCTGTACTGCTGGGCTGTACCGCGAGATAGATCTTGGTCGGACCCAATACCCCTTGCTTGCCGGTTGAAGCTTGAGCTGAAAATAAACAGTTAACATAAATGGGATGTAATTGAATTATGGGTACATGCAGAATATGAACTTTAATACAATACTTTTCATCTTTATTTTAATTTTTACCGACTCAAAACTACCAATATCTACTAACCTTTAAGTAACTGTTGTTTAACTTGTTGTTGGACAGCTGCTAGCTGTTGAGGAGTAAAGTCAGCTCCTTGTAGACCCTGTAGAACGATCCTGGGACCTTGCTGGGTTTGGATAACCTGCGCGGTGACACATTTAATGACCGTTCCGGGCGGCTGACCTGTCATTAACTGATCCATGGTTGCCTGATCGATGTGATTATCCTGTGCCTGTAAGTTAACATTATAGGTCAAGAAATATGAAAAACGAGAAAATTTTAACTTGTTAAAAAATGGGTAGTCTCGATTTACACATACCGGTTTTGTTGGACTCTGTAAAGCTTGCTGAATAGCTTGGTGTGTTGACGTTGGTGGCTGTTGGGCAGGTTGCGGTTGCTGTTGCACTTGCGGTTGCGGCTGCGCTTGTTGCTGTTGTTGCGGCTGCGCTTGCTGCTGAGGTTCTGCTTGCCGAATAACCTGTTTAACCGGAGTTTGTGCTTGTGGCACTGTTTGAGTAACGGGTCCAGGAGTTAATTGGGCGACAACCTGGGCTTGGTTATTACCAGTTGGTCTAATTAGTACTTGTTGGCCGTTAATTGTAGCTACTTGAACTTTTCCCGTAGCCAATTGCTGGGCTAGTGACTGGTTATTGACGACAATTTGGTTTGTTATAACCTGGAACAATTGAAAAGAGAAATTGGTCTTCATAAATAATGTAATTTATAAAAGTACCAACCTGTTGTCCATTTTGGTTGATGACTTGATTAGTGCTCAGCAGTACCTGCTGTTGTACAACTTGTCCTCCAGCTCCCAAAACAACATTTCCTTGAGCGAGTTTTTGCACCAATGGTTGACCAGAACTCTGCTTAATAATTACTTGTTGAGGTTGAGACTGAGGAGTGGATACTTGCGGTTGTGCACTCTTCACAGCTTGTGGAGTTTGAACCTGGGGTTGACCAATGATGGCTTGCTTTACGACTGGAGACGATTGAACAATAGCCCTAGTACCTGCGGAAGTTTGTATAGTCTGTTTAATGATAGCTTTGGGAGTTGTTGTCACTGGAGTTGGCGGTTTGGACGTTACGATACCGGACGATTGGAGTTGTGATGTTGTTAATACCTGAAGCTTACCGTCCGGATATTGAACGAGCTGTTGTCCAGGTAGAAGACCTTTGACGCTGATGCGGCCATCGGGCATGCGCATTATTTGGACACGTTGCGGAGTATCTTTGGTAGATTGCGGCGTTTGCGGTTGCGAGTTGGCTAAAGTTGAAGTTGAAGTTGCTGCAGAGAAAAAGAAAACGCGTGAACGAAATAACATAAAAAGCTCTAACGATTTATAAATGAAGAATTAAATTTTTGCTTGTGACTTTGGACACATGGAATTTATAAATGTATAATGAACACGGAATTTCGTTGAAAAATCTAGAGTAGCAAATTGACAACAATGTTACATACGAACTAACTCATAGTGATTGTTACTCCTAATATGAGCAAAATACTCAATTTTAATGCGTAATTAAAAAGACAATGTAAAACGTAATTCTCAAAGCGTAATTAAAAAGAAAAAAATCAAAATATACTAACTTGGCTGTTGACTCTGCGTGGGCGTTTGCACCAGTTGTGCTCCGGTAACCGCAGGAGCTTTTATCAAGCTTTGTTGTGTTGTAGGTAATGTCTTAGGTATTATAGTGGAGCCCGTTATGACCCTCGTGGTACCATCAGGTCCCTTTGTCATCAATATCCTTCGACCGGCCAATTTAGTAGTATTCGAAGTAAGTAATGAGGTTAGAGTATTTTTACCACTGACTATGGCCTGGCTTGGAACTACGACGTTCTTCACTATCTTCACTTGACCATCGCTAGTCGTCACTGGGGGATCAAATCAAAATTAATAAACGACCATGTACGAATATTGACGATGGAATTTGATTTGAACATGTATCTGTGATAAAAGAAGTTAAAAAACGCTATAACGTGTCACATTCTGACAATATAGACAAATTCTCTTTTTTTTTTCAGATAAAATATAAAAATGAGGCATATTGATATTATTGTGACAAAGTATTATGTTAAAGCCAAAAATATCTAAAAAATGTAATTTGAAGAGAAAGAATAAATTTTTTCGTTCAATTTGCAAAAGCAACGAAGTTTAAGAGAGATCGGCATGTGGAATTAAGGAGACTACCCTAGTTAGAAAGATAACATGTAAAAATTCATCTACATAGAAAAAGGTACGAAAATCATTAGAAACATATACGAGAAAATGACAAAATATGACATGAAATTAGAAAACAGCAACACAGAAAGACAGAAAACTCTAATTTTTTTTACAGAAATTTTTTAAATTTTGCAAAGTATTCTCCAAGACAAAAACCCAAAAAGAAGTGGGTTACGAGTATACTGATCTAAAAGCTGATTTCAAAAAGGTCTGGACAAATAGTCCTCATATCAAAATTCATACAGCTTAAAGACGAACCTATCTTAACCTTATTCTTATTGTAAACAAAATTCTGAAAAACAAGAAGGAATACTTGTGAACGGCGAAGTCATCAATAATTTGCGATATGCGTACGATACAGCATTCCTAGCTTCTAGTCAAAAAGATCTGCAAACACTACTTGATAGTGTCGTTGAGAGTTGTAGAGAGGCAGGTCTGGATCTGAACATACGGAAAACCAAAATACTCGTAATAAGTAAACAACAGCATATAAAACGGTCTATATATGTAAATAATACCGAACTTGAGCAAGTTGATAAAATCGTTTACCTTGGACAGCAATTAAATTGTAATGCAGAAAGTCACGGCGAAATTAGATCTAGGATAGAGCAGGCTAGAGCTGCTTTTAGAAGGATGTCCAAGGTGTTATGTAACAGAGACCTAAAATTGGCATTGAGGATCCGCCTACTTCGCTGCTACGTGTTCTCGGTCTTACTTTATGGTGTTGAGTCCTGGACTGTGAATAATATGGATCTAAATCGCCTTGAGGCTTTCGAAATGTGGTGCTATAGAAGAATTTTAAAAGTTTCCTGGGTGGAGAAGATTCGACACTCCACAATACTAGTACGTCTCAGCAAGACTACTGAGATCATCAAAAGCATCAAGCAGCGAAAGTTGGAGTATTTCGGACATGTAATGAAAGGTCCCAAATATAGGTTGTTCCAAAATATCATGCAAAGAAAATAGCAGGCAAACGTAGTCCAGGACGAAGAAGAACCTCATGGTTGAAAAACTTGCGAGATTGGTATGGTGTTGATACAAGCACGCTATTTAGGGTGGCAGTGAATAAAATTAATATAGCTATGATGGTCACCAACGTTCTGAAAGGATATGGTACATGAAGAAGTAGACAAAACGTAATATTCTGCAAATTCTTGAGAAAATTATATGAATCAAGCAAGACAATATTGTGCCCTTCTTTAGAATTATTGGTCATTGCAAAGTAGAAGGCAACAAAGTCTCGGATAAACTATATAGTCAACGCACTATAGGTGCACGGCACTATAAGAAGAAGAAGGGAGCCTCTGTACTAACCAATAGAGCGCTAAGAATTTCCGCTAGAATGCGTTTATTACGTTATTGCCTTCAGAATTCTGCTATTTGTAGTGAAAGCATGGAGTTCCATTGAAACAATGTGTAAAATACTTGAGGTTTTCGAGATGTGGGCGTGCCCACGAATGTTGACGAAGTCGTGAATGGACAGAGTGACTATTTCAAAGAAAGAGAGACGTTCTGAATACCATTAAAAGGAGAAAATTGGAGTAATTTGCCCACGTCATTAGAAATCCTAAATATAAATTACTATATGTAAGTCTACAGAGAAAAATAGAAGGGAAACGTGGTCTTGGCGACGAAGAAGATCCTGACTAGAGAACCTTCGCCAGTGGTGGGAGCACCACACTATTTAGATCCGCTGCGGGCAAAGTAAAGATGATGCAACTGTTCGCCAATGTTCTTGGAGGACAAGGTACTTAGTGAAGAAGATAAAGCAGTATATGCCTAGGAAATAAGGAACTGTATTTGAAATCTGTTTATAAGCAACTTGCAACTGCAATTTCATGGCACTTGCCACTCTTCACACAGGTGCAGATATGTGTTGGAATAGAGAAAAGAAAAAAAAGAGGAAAGATGAAAAGTTTAACAGATTGACAGAATACTCGACACCCACACACGACTGCTAACTAACAATTTATGTACAGTCCATCCACTACATCTTTGCACAAGTATGACATTATTCAATAATTATTTTCATATTACATCTCCCTACTTACAGAAACTAAATCGATGAACTTAAGCCGCCTGTTCATACACAACAGCTTACACCGAAAAAAGACAGTCATAGGAAGATGGTTGGTTGATTCACCTACTGACAATTGTAAGTTTTGACAGCGTTTGTAGTGATTATAAATTATTTTTGTGTCATTTAAATATTCAATGCTTTTTCGTATTTTGAATATACATATTTTTTAATAAACAGTTGTTATAACGACTAGCCATTACTAATACATTAGTTAGGTATTTCACCCTAGAACACTAACCATTCGTAAAATTTACGAACTCTGATTATTTTTTCAAGATTTGGCAACCTTGCATAAATTGTAGAAGCTTGGGTATTAAAGTAGCTTCGGGAATCATTTTTTACGAAACGTTACTGTGAACGAAGTTTTTTTCTCTCGGTATTATTAGTTTCTTTTCTCATTCACAGACAATTTAATTAAAAAATGGCTAGAATATTTGACGACAAAAGACCCTTAACCCAATTAGAATTGGAGGCCGAATAAATATTGATGGGTGAGTTAGACAATGGTAGCCTATAATCAAATGACGAAACTTCTAGTAATTCAGAAAGTGAACGCAGAGCGCCGTCTGAATCGGAGTACGAGCCCGAATTTTCTGGTAATGAAAGCAGCGATTTTGAGTGTGGTTGTCCTAAAACGAAAAAAAGAAAGCCTAATAACTAAAATACTTCTGTTTCTATGCCTAGAACTTCATGTAGAGTTCAATATGAAATTTCTTCTGTGATTCAACAAAATCATTAATTTCAGCAAATAACTCAGTCTCATTAAAACGAAAGAGGTAATGAAGAAGTGTGTTTTTAACAAGTTGAAGAGCTAGAATCCGAAAGCATTGTGGACGAATCTGAACTGCATACTTCCAATTTGACTACGAGTCTCAAAGACAAAAATGGTCATAGCTGGTGTACAGTATCTAATCTTCGGAAACGTACTACAAAAAGGAATATTTTGCAAAGGACCATCTGGACAGGCAAAGATGCTAGTACACCATTAGATGTATTTTAGTGTTTAATGAACGATTCTATGTTCGAAAAAATTCTGTTGCACAACAATTAAATCAAATCAGTCTAAAGTCTAAAAATTTTAAACATACTAATTCTCTCGTAACAAGGAATGAATTAAATGGTCTTGTTGGACTACTTATATTTTCTGGAACACAAAAAGATAACCATCTTCATAGTAGAGAGATGTTTGATTCCAAAATGTCCGGCTCCTTTTATAGAGCAACATTGAGTTGCGGAAGATTTGATTTTCTTCTACATAATTTTAGGTTCGATGAAAAAAACACAAGAAGCGAAAGAAAAAATAAAGATAGTTTGCCCCTATCCTGGATATATGGGAAGAAAACTAGCCCTAAGAAGAGATAAGAATACAAATCTGAAGGCGAAGATTATGTAGTTACTGATGCAATCAATATCGGAGGCGTCTGGCTACTTAAGAAAATAAAAAACCTTTTTAACATGTGCCTTTTGGACAGTAATATACCCGACAAATGGCACAATGATGGGGTAATTCTATTGTACAAAAAAACACTCTTTAACACGGTAGAATTTGATAAAATTCTGAAAGCACTATAAGCATGCCGCATTGACTACCGATATACAAGGTTAATTTACAATACATACAAGAATGCAACTATGTCGGTGAAACTATGATCGGCAGAGGAGTCATTGATATTGACATCTACAAGTTCTAAAGCTAAGAAGAAAACGGGAAGGTTAATGCTGAGTATATCGCTTCGTGACCGAGTTAGAAATGAAGTCGTAAGACGAAGAACAGGAGTTAACGATGGAATTTCCCGAATTGCCACACTGAAATGGAACTGGGCCGGACACGTCGCCCTAATCAGTGATGAAAGATGGACGAAGAGATTGCTTGAGTGGAGACCGAGGTTAGACACAGTAGAGGAAGACCCCTTACTAGTTGGACTGACGATCTCAAGAAAATGTCAAGAAATTGGATGAAAAGAGTTCAAGATAGGGCATAATGGACAAAAATGAGGGAGGCCTATGTCCAGCAGTGGACGCAAATGGCTGGGTGGTGGTGGTGATGATGAAGACAAGACGTTAGTGTCGTATAAATTTTTAGAGTATGCCTGGTAAACCATTGAGTTCTTAAACACAACAACTTATGTTAAATGTGTTGAAGTATTTCTAATTAGAAAAAAATGAATGGAGTGCCCGTGGAGCAATGACAAAGTCATTAATTAATTCTGAAAACCATATTTAAGACTGAATAAACAAAATGATCAAGTTGATGGAGCCCTGGAGTTCAGATTACTACAGTTTAAATATGTATTTACTGTAGTTGATATTGGACCTGTAGGTTTAAAAAAATTGGATAATCACGTTCATAACATGTATACCCAGTTTTCAAAATGCAATCAATGAAATCAAAGAGAAGTATAAAAACGTCCGTTGCAATATTAACCATTTTCTAATTCGTATAAACGACGTAAGTTTGGCTCACAAATTTTTTGGTTTATTTTTATTTCATATAATAAGAATAATGACAATGTGCAAAGATCCAGCGCATCTATTAAAATACTTACGTACGTGTGCGAAATTTATTTTAGCTTTTATCACAGATTACATTCAAATATAACAAAATAACATATTACATGCACAATATAAAAAAAAAACTGAATCATGTTTAAACATAGATTCAGAGGTAGTTTAATCCTTTTGCAAAACTGAATAAAATCCCCTAGTGGGAAAATATAATGTAAAATAAAAAAGTAAAAGTATAACAAAGTAACGACTGCTGTGAAACAAAGTAAAGACAGACAACACCATCAACAAAAATAACCTACCTTTAGGTTGTATTGCTTGTAATGGTGCATTACTTGTAGATGACGCTTTTGATGTTGTTACTGTAGTACTACTAGCAGAGGTTGCTTTATAATAATAGAGAAATCAATAGAAATATCAAAATAAACTAAGTTTTATCTAATATTTTGTGCTATATTATAATTTGTGCAAGTATCGCTATATTAGATACAACTAATATAATTTCAGCTATATGAATATCAAATATTTCTCGTGGTATTTATTATCTGTTTAAGGAAGATCTGTTTTAAAATAATTGTAAAACGTGAAGAGGAAGTAAATAATATTACAAGGAGTGATAATTAAAATTTAATTGTGTGGCAACGTCGCAACATAGTGCAGTGTGTTTGGAAACATTTGAGGAGTCAGGGGGAAAAACAATCATCGTCCACTTTTCCTCGAAATTGAGATGACGAAGTTTTCTAGTGATGAACACATATTGCTTACGGATGGTACAGAGTAAAAGGGAAAACATTTACATTCCTTTTATTACAAATATTAAATGAAATGGTGTACTCGTGAAAAACCATCATATTCCGCGCGCTGCGAGGGAATAACCATCAGGGCACCATTGCCAGGCCCAAAAAATTTATTTCCCCAAATTGTATTTTAAAAGTTGACAGATTTTGAACAGAATTCCCCAGATTTATATATTTTAGTTTTAACTTTCCTACATGTATGCAACCCGCCATGTAGGTTACCGATTATATCCAGCCATAGGAGTTTTCAACGCTTCTCGTTTGTTTCCAGCTTCTGTCATATGGCGTATATTAATTTTATAGACGGATTATATGACATGAAAAGAAGCTCGAAACAGATAAGAAGCGTTTTAAGTCCTATTGGTGACACTGACAGGCATAATAATTGTTTTTGACATTATTGACAGTTGGACAGTTATATAGAATTACACGAAATGACAAATGGCAATGCCTCCTGACTCCTAAGAAGTCTTGATCATTTTATTTGTTTCTTCATCTTCATTGTAAATCTTAACAATAGTTTTAAGTTTAAATTTAATAACCTATTTTAGACAGTTTGATTTCCCCAGATATTAGTCATTTTATTAAAAAGTTTTTCCCCAGTCCCCAAAGCTTCTCAATTTTCCCAAATTCTGGCATCGCTGCATCAGGGCCCCTCTCTGTCTCAACAGGTCGGGGCGGGTACAGCATTTCTGTGATTCTCTTTCTTAGTTTGGCGACTTCGTTGGTGTGTTCTAGTTTGTCAGTAGATTCTATTTGAACAATAGTAACGTAGTGAGTACATACTGATTCAAATTGAGAGAGTAGCGATTGTAGTGATGTAGACGTGGGGACTGATGTTAAAAAAAGAAGAAAAACAGACCGTGTTCGTGATGTTATGAAACTTCTGAGAGCCACCACTCAGGAGGTAAGGCCAGATTGCAAGTGCAACCGTTTTCGTTGTTTTGGGAACGTCAATGAAGCTGAAAGGAGACGCATTTTGACTCATTTCAATGAACTTGATAACTACGACGATCAGAATCGGTATTTCGGTGGTATAACCGTTCTTCCTATTGAGCATATATGGAGCCTGCTAAAAATTCGCGTTAGGCGTCGCATAACTGCTCCAACAACATCTAGAGAGCTTCAGACGGCACTAACCATTACTGAAAATGGATACCAGCTTTTTTTTAGTATACAATTTTAAAAACTAAGTTGATTTTTTCAATAAATTTCCAATTTTTTTTTTATTTTTTATTTTCGATTGATGTTTTACGATAATGATGAAATTTTATACTACACGAGTTATTTATTCAATATACAAGAAAATAAATGCTTAATTTTGTAGCAATAAATAATAATTTCGTAAATACAATAGAACCCCTCTCGTCCGCCCTCGGATAGTCCGACGCTCCGGGTAATCCGACCTGCTTGGCTTCGCGGAAATCCCCGGCGGTCGATTTGTTTACGACGAAAATTTCTCCGAAAATCACAATCCATTCTGTCACAGTATTATTTCGAACTTTGTGAGTTAAAGTGTGTACATTATTTTCAACATGTCAGGAGCAAAACGTAAACACGTTACGCGTTCGTTAAGTGAAAAACTTGCAGTGCTTCAAAGGCTGGACAAAGGTGAATCACTACAAAAAATTGCCAAGGAACTGAATGTAGGCGTTACAACTATTAAGGATTGGTGAAAAAATCGAAAAGAAATTGAATCACATACAATGACGATAGTAGATGGAGAAAACGCTCTTAAAAAGCGAAAAACATTAAAAAAGCCTAAACTTGAACTGCTTGATAGTGCTCTATGGATGTGGTTCAGTCAAGAAAGAAGGAAGGGAACTCCGATATCTGGCCCAATTATAAAAGAAAAGGCAATAATTTTGCACAAAAAACTAGAAGTCGGAAGTGAATTTAAAGCCAGTGAAGGCTGGATTGATCGTTGGAAAACCCGTCATGGTATCCGGTTTGTCTCAATTTGTGGTGAAAAATTATCTGCTGACGTCGAGGCGGCTAAGGAGTTTTCTGTGAAGTTTCAACAAATTGTAAAAGAAAATGAACTGTTACCTTGCCAAGTCTATAACATAGACGAGACAGGCCTAAACTATAAAATGCTTCCAAACAAAACCTTAAGTGCGTCAAATGAAACCGTAGCGGGAACGAAACTCATGAAAGATAGGCTAACTGTTGCTCCTTGTAGCAATGCTGATGGAACACACAAGCTTTCGCTGTTTGTCATAGGCAAATCTAAGAAGCCCAGGGCTTTCAAAAACATAAACTTATCATCCGTGCCGATTTATTATCGCAACCAAAAATCTGCTTGGATGGACTGCAATCTTTTCAAATCTTGGTTTTTTGACGAGTTTGTGTAATGTGTTGAGAAGGACTTGACGAAAAAAAATTTCCTATTCGAGCTCTACTGCTATTAGACAACGCACCATCGCACCCTTCTGAGGAAGATTTAGTAAAAGGGGATATAAAAGCTATCTTCCTTCCACCAAATGTCACATCACTTATCCAGCCTATGGACCAGAGCGTCATAGAATGTTTTAAAAGGCGTTATCGCCGAAAATACACAAGATCGATTTTAGAAAAATCCGAAGAAGGATGTGATATTTTCCAAGCCATGAAATCACTCAACATTAAAGATGCTATCTATACAATAGCTGAGTCTTGGGCAGAACTAAATCCTGACACGCTAAGAAAATCTTGGCGTAAGCCTTGGCCAGAAGTTATGATCGAAATTGACCAGGTCGAAGATGAGCAAAACGACGTGCAGGAAATCGTTACCAATCTTCAGACCCTGGATGCAAATATACCTGCTAGTGAAGTTGAGGAGTGGATTGAACAATGTGACAAAAACTGCGAAACCAGTGAAGTGCTGAACGATAACGAAACTGTTGCCGCTGTTATGGAACGTGACAGTGACGGAATCGTGAACTCAGAATCCGACAGTGATGATGATGACGAGCCTCCTGTCCGGATTTCACACACCGATGCCAAGAATGCTTTTGAAATTGGCCTTCAGTACATTGAGCAGAACTCAGCATCAACACCGATGGACATCGTGTGGATGAAAAAATGGAGGAACATTGCAGCTAAATCCAGAATTTCATCTTGTAAACAAAAATCTATTACTGATTTTTTTACTAAGTAGGCCTACATAGGTAAGCACTAATTTTTATGCTACCTTTTTTGACATTATATATTTACATACATATTTAATAAATAATGTACAAACAAAAGCTTTCTTGTATTTTATTGAAATATAATTATTTATTATATCACTGTAGAGAATAATACAGTCGTTTTTTAAAAACACATACATACGTCATACACAATGACTTTTTCTGATAATCCGACCTTTCTTGCGTTCCGACCATACTGCTAGTCCCGAGGGTGACGGATTAGAGGGGTTCTACTGTATTTTAAATATTTGGGGTGGCCCGTTTTCTATGATGCGGAGTGTATTTTTAAACTACTGGTTTCCAAACTGGGTATAAATGCACAAACTGAATTATTGTCATCTCCAATTTTGTGCCAAGATTTTTATTTAAAACAGATCTTCCTTTATACAAAAAAAATTGTAGTTAAAGTGTTATACTTACATTGAGCCGTACTGCCCACCATCTCCAACACGCCGCTCTTCAATCCCAAATTCTTGACTTCGAGAGCCCTCTTCTGTTGGTGAGCGGCTCTCTGTAGGCGCAGCTGTTGCTCCATCTTCTCCTTGATCTCTTCCGGCGTAGCCTTACCGCTGACCGCCACTTTGATATCGGGAGCTTCGATGGTCGGTTTGGCTGGCGGAAGATTGCCGGTACGACTCCTAGTTATAACTTGCTGATTAACCTTTTCGATCCTGCGATGAAAATCAACACGACACAAGCGGTTAGTGGACAGAGCATGCAAAAGGTGGTATGGGACAGAGACACAGTTTACTTTTAGCCAATTCATGTTATACACTGTCAATTTAACGAATGAAAAACTTAAAACACATTCAAATTGTATTTGTGAACCGCTGTTGAAACTTTACTAAAGTTCCGTAATAGAGGAATGTTTCGTCAAATTCTTCTCCTTGATCTCTAATGCAATAATAGCCCGTCACTTGTCTGATCTTGATAATGCGTATCGCATTTACAGACGAATCGCCAAATGGAAATATTTCATAAACTACGAAAACCATATACAAAAACCCAATCATACAGTCCTTGATAGAGTATATTTTATAGTGCCGGTCCAGGTATAGTGTGTTTTTACGACTTTCACTGTTACATACACTCTGGTTCAAAATTAACCGACCACCTTAAAAATGAGTAATTTTTGATGTCTTATATCTCCTAAACCTGTTGTCATACTCTAGCATTTATAAAATATTGAAATTAAAACCTAACTATAGCCTCATGTTTTCTCAACATTTTGTTTTTTGATTCATTCGCTTATGTTGGATAATTCAAAAGTTAGATAGCTTAACAACTAGCCATGTTTTTCATCAATACAGATGATTTAACTGACCAGCAAAATTAACTCCACCACCTTTATTATTCTTTTGTTTACATTACCTGTGACAGTTTGTTTCCTAAATTTGTGTCATCGAAGGATTTTTATAATATTTTTATGTCATTATTATATTTATAAATTTGTGTCATCGAAGGATTTTTATAATATAAGGATTGTTATAAATACAGCACTTTCGGATCAAAATATAGGTATTAAGATAAATGGCATCCGAATAAACAACTTGAGATATGCCGATGACACGGTACTAATCGCAGAAACTTGGGAAGATCTTCAAATACTAATTAACAAAATAGTAGAATGCAGTGAAGAACACGGATTATCACTTAACATAAGCAAAACAAAAATAATGCTAATATCCAAATCACCACAAAACTTCCCTGACATAACCGTGCATGATCAAAGAATCGAACGCGTAAGAAGATATAATTACCTGGGAACTGTTATCAACGAAAATAATGATTGCTCTGAAGAAATCAGAACCAGAATAGAGAAAGCTAGAGCCACATTTACTAAATTGAAAAAGGTGTTCTGCGGAAGAGATCTTCTTAAGTCTAAAACTTAAAATTCGCCTTTTGAGATGTTACGTTATGTCAGTTCTCCTCTACGGGATGGAAACATGGACATTGAAAAAGATCGATACCAAAAAGATAGAAGCATTTGAGTTGTGGATGTATCGTAGAATATTAAGAATACCCTGGACAGAGAAAGTAACAAATGTGGAGGTTTTGCGGAGAGTGCAGAAAGAGAAAGAGCTGATACTTACTGTTAAAAAGCGCAAACTACAATATTTGGGACATGTTATGAGGGGAGATAAATACCAGTTGCTACAATTGATTATACAGGGAAAGATAATGGGAAAGAGATCTATAGGAAGAAGAAGGCATTCATGGTTGAAAAACTTGAGAGAATGGTACAATTGCACCAATTACCAACTGTTTAGATCTGCAGCATCAAAAATACGCATAGCTTTGATGATAGCCAAACTTCGGAACGAAGACGGCACTTGAAGAAGAAGAAGAAGGATTTTTGACATATAGTCGTTGTACGATATTATCGCAAATTTGTTTCCGTGTTAATAACAATTCTTGAACAATTTGTAATTAAAATTAACAATTGAAATTGTAATTTTCTAACATTGTGAGCGAATATTGGTTAAGTTAAAATTTTAGTGCTTATTTATTGTTTGTGATTTTAAAAATGCCACTCGTTCCAACTGATGCTGCTAGGGCAGTGGCTTTTAGTTGATGCTGCTTACAGTCAACGTCATATCGTTGGTATACTCGATGTACCCAGAACTACGGTACAAGATACCATCAGAGGATTTAGGGAGACAGGATCGTACAAGCGCAGGCCAGGTCAAAGCCGAAAACGATGCACTTCTGTTCGAGATGTCCGCTTCATTGTCATTAAAGTATTGAGAAATCGCTTTTGCACCGCTCCTGACGCTCGTAGGTCTCTTCTTGAGGTGAGAAACGTTAGTGTGAGTAGACAAACGATTAGAAGAAGACTGTCAGAAATAAACTTGAGGGTTTTTCGTCCAGCTCGCTCACCACAACTGCTCCCTCCCACAACACCGTAGGGCTAGACTTCATTTTGCGCGAGAATATGCCAACTGGAGTATGGCGGAATGGAAGAATATACTGTTCTCAGGTGAGCGCAGAATAGCCCAAAAAGGTCCAAAAAACAATGAAATGTTTGTTGCATGCGCTATAACCGAAACAGTGGCTTACCGAGGAGGGTCAATATTGATTTGGGGATGTATTTCTTACGAAGCGCGTACTGATATTGTTGTGTTGGGTAGAGGCAGTGTGAATGCCCAAGTATATGTCCAAGAAGTTCTCCAAGACCATGGCATGCCTCTTGCACCATTCATTGGTGATAACTTCAGACTAATGCATGACAATGCACGTTGCCATACAGCAAAATCTACCCGTGAGTACCTTAATCAGGTCGGGATTCAAGTTCTACCATGGCCAGCACACAGTCCCGATCTTAACCCAATTGAGCATATTTGGGACAACCTCAAAAGAAGGGTAAGAGCAAGAGTACCAGCCCCTACATCCTGTGAATAGCTGAAGACAGCTGCGGTAGAGGAGTGGCACAATATCCTACAATCTGATATCGAGGATATCATGAATGTATTGAAAAACTAGCTCCAAGAAATCCTAAGGGCTAGAGGCGGCAACACCCATTATTGATACCCATAATTTTTTTTTCAATTAGACTTTGATTTCCAAAATATTGTTAATTTGAATTTTCTTCGAAGATTTTATTCATTGGATTTTTACTGTAACGAATGATTTTTTTCTTTTTCTAAAGATTATCTTTTCTCTTTCGCGCAGATAAAAATTGATAAAAAACATGTCTAGTTGTTAAAGCACCTAACTTTTGTATTATTCAACATAAGCGAATCAATCAAAAAACAAAATGTTGAGAAAGCATGAGGCTATAATGCGGCATTAATTTCAGTATTCTACAAATGCTAGAATATTCCACAGGGTGATGCAAACTTTAAGAAAAAACCACAGTTTGATTCGTACTTTTCATTAATGACATTACAATGTTACTTTTCATTAATAACATCACTTACTTGAAAATTAAAGGGAAAATTTTTCTATCTGCTGATGATACCAGTATTACTTGGAGCAGCTCTGATATTTCAACGCTTCATTCAATTATAACCGCTGATTTACTTATAATCAAGGCTTGGTCAGACTCCAACTTACTTAGCTTTAACGTGGATAAGACTGTAGCATTATCTTATAAAGGAGTCATGCAACCCTTGCTTTTGAATGAGAGCCAAATCAATATCGTAAATTCCGTGAAATTTCTAAGTATTCTCATTGACAGTGATCTCAAATGGTCCTTGCATGCTGATTCATTAAGGAAGAAACTAGCCTCAGCTTGCTTTGCAATAAGATCTGTTTCGAAGGAACTAAATTTATCTTCTGCCAAAATGGCATATTTCTCATTGTTCGAGTCCCATCTTCGATATGGGCTTCCATTTTGGGGTTCTAGTATAGCGGCCCAATTTGATACTATTTTTAAGTTGCAAAAAAGAGCAATCCGTTATCTATTTGGTCTCAAACAAACAACTCATTGGAAGACCTACTTCAAAAATCACGGAATTTTGACGCTTCCCTCTTTATTTATTTCGGAAACGGTTTGTTTGATTCGAAAGCATCTAAACATTTTTCCCGATAGACCTGACCATAGCTACTCCATTAGAAATTCGGATTGTAACGTTTATTTGCCGATCCCGTCCACTCAGCTAGTAAAGAATTCTATTCTATATCGTGCAAAGAAACTTTATAATCACCTTCCAAGAGAAATTAAATCCGCAACATCCTTCATTAAGTTTCGTAAGGTGACAAAAATCTATCTCTCAGAAAGACCATATTATTCAGTTGACGAGTTTCTTAATGTATAACAAACAAACAAAATTAGTATTGTTTAGAATTACATTTGGGTGTCTCAAGCAGTGGCTACAATTTGTCTCATTTGTTGTTGTCTGTACAAATTATGTAGGTTATACAATAATTTTACTAATTTAAAATTGTGTTATTCTGTTTTTTACTATATTTGTTTTTGTTTTATACTTTTTGTACTATTTGACTGATTTATTTTTTAGCTTTGTCCATAAAATTGTTCAATAATTTTCAGTGACAATAAAGCATATTTCTATTCTATTCTATACACCCGGTATAAAATGAAAATTTACCTGTGTAGCAAAAATAATATTATAAATATATTGTCAAGGAACAAGGCTATAACAAAATCAATTAAATCGGACAACAGGTTTAGGAGATATAAGAAATCAAAAATTACCCATTTTTTAAAGTGGCCGGTTAATTTTGGTCCAGAGTGTATTTTTAAAACTCCTTTTCCAATAGGTAAAAAATAAAAGACTTACCTACTACCAATTATGAGTAAGTCTTTTTCTTTTTTGCCTTTTGAAAATGGACGCACATATCAAACAATTTCTTTTCCAATGTTAGCTGTTAATCAGCCCGTGTCGATTGATTCTCATTATAGGTCAAAGTAAGAATAATAGGAGCATCAATCAGAATATGTCGAGACCCTGTAGCAAGTCAAAGCTGTAAAAAATACATATTGCCTTGCACTATATTTTCCATGTTGATATCAAGACATATGCTATGCACATTTATAGCATTGTTCTGCAATTAGGAGAAGTGCGTAGTTAGTGTGCGTTTTAAGTTCTTCAATTCTGTATAATAGTCCCACAAGAAATTTATAATTGGTCTCTGCAAGGTTAAAGGTAAATAAGGGTATATTGCGGGGTTCAAAAAATCCATCACACCCTTATATATAAAAAACATT